CGGATAAATGTTTTTATTCACACTCTTCAACCTCGACTCAACTGCCTTAAAAAAATGATTGAAATAATGACACCGAATATCTCTGATTAATACAGTTATTTTCCTGGCAATGCATGAAGTATTTGACGCTATTTTTGACAATTTTAACCATTTCCCCCTTGTCACAAAACTTTCCCCCCGCCCCTTTTTTTTCCCTTTCAAGTACGTCACACTTTCGAAATAACAAAATTGTTTTCAAAATATTAACAACTAACTATACATTTAATCGAAAACAGACTACATTATTAAAATCCCATGTAGAATTATAATTATTTGACGCTACCAAGTGACATCTTCGGTTTGAATACATCCATCCCAAAGGGCAAACTTAACATCACTGTCGATTTCAGATTTATTTTTTAAAGTATGATTTAAAAATGGTTGACTTCACATATGATCTTACCCCTCCCCCATGGGTCACAAACTGTCAAACTTTCTTAGACGACCCCCCCCCCACAACTCTGGAGCGTGACGTACTTTTACAGAAGGCCCCTTACCTTGATTTGTAATACAGAATGGAACAGGCTCAACAGCGTCATAAACTGTGGACAGTAAAATTTATTATAAATTTTATCGATTTATTCTTTAATGAATAACTTTTTTTTTTTAAAATAAAGAACATCTATAATTGATAAAATGAGTAGGCTGCTCTTTAATGCTTCGCGTATCTGACAATACCACACTCTGTACCCGAAGGTGGAGTCCCATAGGCGGTATGACATTGACACAATGAACATTCCGACCAACTCATGCGACGCAGAACGCAAAACAGCACAGTGAAACACATACACACACTGATGTGTCATTCATCTACTGCACCCTGGTCTATTTCCAGTCGACTTCGCTAAGTCTTAACATTCGATCAATAGGCAAGGACGAGAGAGGGAGGCTGGCGAATTGAGCAAATTTAAACAAAATACAGGGCTACAACTCTAGTAAAAAATTGCTCAACTTCCTGTGCGAAGGACAATCAACAACACTGACATCAGCTGACAGCTGATAAAAATCTGGTTGTAACTAGAATTTTTAAATGGAGAAAAGTGGTCACCTTGTTATTTTAAGCCTTTATTGTCAGATAGATTTTAGCCAGTTGGCAGAGCGCAGTCTCACAATATTTTGCCTCCCCCAGCCCCCACCGTGCCCATGCGTTCTGCAAGACTCAAGCCTTGATTATAAAAACCGAAAACCGCGTTAAACCGGATTTCTAAAACTAAAAACCAGTTTGCCGAAAAAACCGGTGTTAACATCCATGGGCGCCCGCAGAAGACTTTCTGGGGGGGGGGGGGGG